AGAGAGAGAGAGAGAGAGAGAGAGAGAGAGAGAGAATAAATGTATATTATAATATAATTATTTATTTAATAATTTGATATATCATCTGATTTACGAAATATTTTAGAGAGTTTGTTAATTTTGAAATATGATTTTTATATGTAGGAATTATGTATTGTTCATTTTGTAATTTCCAAATCTTTGAGGTACATGTAGAAATTTTATCATAAGAAAATTACCTCAAACCTATCTTTTCAACATTACATTTCAAAAACAAAGTGATAAAGTTTACATTTCAAAATTCAGGTGGTAATTCTATTTTATAATTATAATTATTAAAAATTTAAAACCTTAATTTATCATTTTCTTTCCAACCCTTTCTCTTGTCTCTCTCCCTCTTAGCCATACCCACCCAAGCTCATATCTCCCCAATCCAAAAAATCAGGTATGAACCCTATCATTTTTCATCTCGTTCTTCTCTCTCTACCACATTCTTTCTCTCTCTATACTCTCCCATCTCACAAAATACCTACCGGCAGCTTCGATCTCCCATCTCCATCTCTCTCTCTTTACCCTATCTTGTCGTCGCCATCTCACAAAATACCCACCTCCAGCTCTCACCTCCGGTGACCACCGCCTACTGCCGGAGACCACCACCTACATCAACAATCCCCTGCCGGTGCAGCTGTAGAGGAGATGACACATAAGCACGATTAAAATGTCGACAACGGAAGTTCCTGGGCGACGGCGGTGACGGACAATAATGTTTCTGCTTCCAGAGCGAGCACACCATCACCGTCACCGCCGACCGCTGAGCTCGTTTTCCCCAATTGTAGCGACGACTTACTTGAAGATTTCTCGTTTGCGCCCTCAGTTGCCTTCCCATTAGCTTCTTGAAGATCTAAGAGCGACGAGTGGTTTTCAGCAGTGGTGCCATTGGTGTGTGGTGGTGGGGTTGATGTTGGTCGTGGTGGTATTTGTGGTGGTTTGGGGCTGATGTTGAGGTGATGGGGTTGATGTTGAGCTGATCCTTGAAAACCAAATTCTATGATGGCTCATCTGGTAGCGCAGAAGTTTTTGAGGGTGGTTTTTGTTGGTTGTTTGACTGCGGCTGCTGTTGTATTGTGTTGATGACACTCGTGAAGTTTTTATTTAATTTTTGAAATTAAACAACCTCATCCACTTCCTGAAAACAGCATTAAGGTCGAGATGGTGATGGTTGTAGGTGTAAGGATGACTGGATTGATATGGTGGTGGTGGAGGCGTAGTCGGCGCCGCTGCAAAGTAAGAAGGCTGCAACCGGAGTTGGTGGTG